TGAAGATTGGAGAACAAAGCTAGCTGTGCTGTAGTGTATCCCCATTTTACAAAGGACACCTCAAAAAGTCGAATTATGGAGTCATTTATTAAAAGCCGGCGGCATACAAGGGAGCAAAAATACTCCAGACCTAGCCGCCTCGAACAGCTTGCCACATCTGGCCTATATTGGCAGAATATCAGAAAGGTATCGATTACATCTTTGGGTCTGGAATGAGGAACCCGTTTTGCGAAAGAAAAGCATTTTTACAGAAGCGAGATGAGCAAGTTAGTTACCTAAAATATAGTTTTTGGGTCTACAGATCATTGAATCAACAGAAACACATTATCTTGGACCACCAGGGCAATTTGGAATAATTGTGCTGTCCAGATTCTGGGATCACCAAGTCAACAGGAATGCACTATCTGTAGCTACTGAGACAATTGGGGATAATTTGAGTTGCCCTGGTTTCCAAAAGAATATGCTTCAGTAACCAGTTAGATCACAATCAATGGGACATTCAAACCATCATCAGTGGAGTACTGGGATAGCATACTAAGTTCAGAAAATCAAAATAACTTTCTGTTGTTTTAGCAAACAAATAAGTACAGAGCCCAAAAAGCAGTTTCTACCTGAGATTATTGCTACCATACTTCAGTTGTTGGAAGAAAATGCACTTCAGGATGAAATGGTCTTATTAAAATCAGGAATTAAGAAGCTAAGCCTTAGCTGGTTTGGCTCAGTGTATAGCGCACTAGCCCAGGTTCAATTCCAGTCAAAGGCTCCGACCTCCACTGCAGGCTTGCTCCCTGGCCCTGGTTGGGGCGTGTGGGAGAAACTAATCAGTGTTTTTCTCTCTCCCCCTCCCTTCCACTCTCTAAAAAAAATCACTGGAAAGCCGAAACCGGTTTGGCTCAATGGATAGAGCATCGAGGTTCAATTCTGGTCAAGGGCATGTACCTTGGTTGTGGGCACATCCCCAGTGGGGGGTATGCAAGAGGCAGCTGATTGATGATTCTCTTTCATTGATGTTTCTAACTATCTCTCTTCCGCTCTGTAAAAACTCAATAAAAAAAAAAAAAAATTTAAAAAGAAAAACTGGAAAAATACCCTCAGGTGAGGATTAACAAAAAACAAACAAAAAAAACACACACAAAACAAACAAAAATAGAAGCTCCAGATCTACAGTCAAATAAAACACATCCATACTTTCTCCCTGATGACTTCATATCTGGTTTAAATGGAAGGATTCTGGAAGGCGGAGCACGGGGGCAGAGTGTGATTCCACCTCCTGAAGTCTGTGGGCACCTACAGATGTGTTCCTTTGTGCTCAACAGTGGAACCTCAGTCCTCGGACTTAACTCGTTCTGGAGCTGTTCCAGAAGCAATTTCTTTGAAAACCAAATTATTTTTTTCATCCCAGACCCCCAAGTGATTCCGTTTTAACCTTTCTTTTATACAGCACATGTCTAAATGTACTGTTTATCATCAAACATTCCTAAAATTTATCAAACCACCCTCTGCCAGCCTTAAGTGAATCGCTTTCAGTACTCACTCCAGGGTGTCTTGCAGGTGGTCAGAATGCAGCATCTTCATGACGCTGCCTCCACACACTGTCCCTGGCTAACGCCCTGTCATCTATCCAAATCACAACCGTTTCTCCAATTATCTGTGATGTTTCTTTCACACCCTGAGCAGCATTAAAATTATCCTAATAGTCCATTTCTCCAGCAACAAAAGAAAAAAACAAAAAGCCAACAAAAATAATCACAGCACAATTTCCCAAGATGTTAACACATGTTTAGTGGTAAACTAACGCTCAGTTTCACTTTCTGTCATGCTGATGTATCAGCACGAAAGGGTTGTCAGGTTGAGAACCAGAGGTTTGTTCATTTTTTTTTTTTTTTTTAAGTTTTTTGGGGGAGAGTAGAAGCAAAACATTAATAGACTGCCTCTTTCATGCCCCTTACCAGGGGATCAAGCCTGCAGCCCAGGCATGTGCTTGACGGGGAAATCGAATTGGCAGCTTCTGGGGCCTGGGCTGATGCCCAACGGAGCCACACAGGCCAGGGCCCACCTATTCCTAATCTTGTGTCCCAAGACTCTTTCTCTAAGTTCCTCCCTCAAAACAAAACAAAAACCACGCCATTCTGTAAAAAACTCCCTTCACCTCCCAGCCTCTGAACAGAATCATTCTTGCTCATTAGTTCTCTCAGAAGCCAGTGACCTCCCCTGGCAGACCTGTTTGCCTCTGACGTCACTGTGACGTTGATCCTATCTGCTCTCAGACCACTTTTACCGGTACATTGCTCCCTTTTGTCCCTTACACGTTTCCCTGAATTTTTTATTTCAGAAAGGAAGAGGGAGAGAGAAACAGCTACCTACTGAGGACGGCATCCGCAGCGGGGCACGTGCTCTAGACCAGGACCCTCAGGACACAGGCGACGCACTGTGCCAAACTGGGTAGGGCTACCCTTTTCAATGTTAATTCTGTCCTGAAGTAATTTCATCTACATGCATGGCCTTAAAGATATGCTAATTCTCAAATATGTAGTTTCACCGTTGGTGTCGCCTCACCAGTTGAAAAAAAGAACATCTTGCTAGATTAACTTGGGTGGCTTATTTTCAGCTCAAAATCATATTGTCCCTTCACTTACATTTTTAAGAAAAGGTTGCTCTAGCTGGTTTGGCTAAGGGGATAGAGCATTGGTTTGTGAAATGAAGGGTCCCAGGTTCGATTCTGGTCAAGGGCACATACCCGGGTTGTGGTTTGATTCCAGTAGGGGGCATGCATGAGGCAGCCAATCAATGATTCTCTCATCATTGATGTTTCTGTCTCTCTCCCCCTCTTCCTTCTCTGAAATTTAAAAAAAAAGAAAAAAAAAAAAAAAGAATGAATGTATAAAGTAACAGCCACAGGTTCCAGGGATGAAGATGCAGATACTTTGGGGAGGACCATCATTCTGTGTTATGGCTTGTAAACAGACTTCAAGAAGAGAAAGAAAAGCTTGAATGTAATATTTATTTGGTGAATTTACATGAGGTCATTTACAAAAGTAAAGATACAGACAGATGTAACTTTCAGTGCAGGTCCAAATATTTTTTAGAACAGGCAGTAGTCCATGAGGACTTGGAATGACAGTACTGAATGGCACATGCTTCCGTTTTCTTTGTGTTTGCCTCCCTTCTCCCCCCCCTCCCCCCCATGGGGTAGAAAAGGAGAAGGGAAGGGAAGATCAGTGTTAATGTAAATACAGCTAGGCAAGTAAAAACTGGTGTCTGTCTTCTCTAAGTCACAGGTTACTCAGAGATGTAGAGCAATGTGTGTTCAGGGATTATCATAGGAGCATTATCTAATAACTAAAATGCAGAGCTCTCATAGTTTCCATTATCCAAGTCATCTTAAATTATCTGCGCCCACTCATTAGAGGCCCCTCAGTATTTTGCAGACTGACTTTGGAGGGGAGTCATTTCTAGTAATTTCTAAGAAGATAGCATTTACAATCTTTTTGGTTTCGGTAGGATAAAGCACCCTTTAAAATGGGGGGGGGGGGCCTGTAAAATGCTCCTTTACTCCCAGCAATGTAAACTCTAATTAGATTTCATTTCCAAGAAAGTGTAACTAAAGGCTTGATGTTTTATTATTCTCTGGCTTAAATAAACCTGTCACCACCCAGAATATTTCAAAACAAGAGACCCCTTAAGAACACAGCTACCAGAAAAATGCAGCATATAAACAAAATGATGGTCCTTAAAAGTGACAACTGGAAAAAACAAACATAAAGTGATTTGTAAGTAAAATGGTAATGTAAAGAGATAAACAAAACAAAAATCTGCTGTCGGTATCCCTAGTGAAGACCTGGACATGGGAAGTCAGTCGGCCTTCGAGAACAAGATTAACTCAAAAACAAAAAGCACTCCACAGGTCCGGAGCATCTTTAAAAAGATACTCCAAATTCCTTAAGCACATTTAGCCACAGTTGAAGCACTAAGCTTCAGAAAATGCTATGCTTCTGGCTCTAAGAATTACTTCATTTTTGAACCTTTAGCCCCATTTTCTCTCCATTAAAAACTTTAAGCTAATTAAATACACCCATGTAGCACACTCCATCTTTAACATACAACCAACCTGCATTTTCTTTTAAAAGGACGCTATTTAATAGTACTTATTACAGAAAATAGTCATGGCAATTAAAAACACTTTCATTTCACCTTACTTCTTACCTGGTCCATTCCTCCATTCACTCAGTCTTCCAGCACATACATCAACAATATTTGCTTCTGCATAATTTATGATGGAAGCAGCTATTGTGGACTTGAAGAACAATGTACATTATCCATTAGCGTTGAAGGGGTAAAAAGGCTGAACAGTTGCCACTGAGTCAAAGGTTCTGTGGAATTAGAGGCATTGTGCATGCTGACAATACTTTAAGGGTTCCCTCAGTTTTGCTGCCTTAAAAACAAAACCCCATTCCTTCAAAAAACCCCATTCCTTCAAAAAACAAACAAACCCAAAACCCCCCCAAAAATCAACAAAACAGAAAAAAAAAACCCTCAAAGGGATTAATTGAATCTAAAAGAAACCTATTTTACAACACTTAGTCTGTTACTTTAAAAACCAACATGCTGTAAAAATACTTATATTACACACACACACACATACACACACACACACAGACAAAATCATCCATCTCCCCGCCCTCTTAAAAAAAAAAAAAAAAAAAAAAGCCAAATCAACAAATAAAAGTTTTATTTGCATGGCCAATTATGTGTACTCTTTGCAACTTCATTTTAGTAATCCTGAATAGGTTTTAAGCTTGTGCCCAGGGAATAAAAGCTGCAACACTGCACACTTCCTTCCACAGCCACTCCCACACCTAAATGTGAAACAGATGTAGCGAATGACAGCAGCACAAACAGGAATACTTCCCACCATCCAACACAGTTCATGAGTGTCTGTAGGGTTCAGTTGCAGAGGGGGTAAACTTCTTCTAAAAAGAGTCATGTTCCCTTCCCCTATTTTATAATGTTGGTGGCTTTAATCCATATTTCTTTGCAACTTCTGTCTGGGCATGGGCCGCATCACAGAGGGAGTACAGATGAGCCATCTCCATTTCCGATTTGGCCAGGTTAATAGCTTTGTTGAACATGTCAATGGCTTTCTCCATGTTTCCTCTAAAAGAACAAAAATTTTAAATATTTCATTCAACAAGCTCCTCACAGAATGCAATGAAGATAGTAAGTGATGTGACCCATAAATTTCAACTACAATTCTAATAAAATCCTTCTTTATAATAAAACAGTGCACACCGCAAGTGCTTGATTTACAATTACTGTGCTTATTATACCTATTACAGTCTTGTTTTACAGATAAGAACAGTGAGAGTTGAGAAATTAAGTAACTTGTTTATATCTTCCTAATTTGTATGTTTGACCAAATATAGCAGGCTAGCTTTTAAGTGGGTAATTCTGTGTGGTCGTGAATGACGTTATTAATATCCAAAGGGCCCTTGGCAGAGGTTCCCAAGCCCTGCGCTGGAAGTGACAGCCTCATGGGACAGCAATGGCACTCAGGGGCCTTACCTTCCAGACCTGTGGGCCCACCTTCCTTCTGCCTCACCTCTTACCACCACGTCCCCCTCCTATGCACCTCACTCCAGTCACACACGTCTACCCAAATCCCGTGACTGTGCTTACACCCATACCTGCACTATTTGTCTCTTTCCAAGACACAGTTCAAATCTAGTATTTTCATGAAAACGGTTTTCCACTACCTTCCCAGTGTCCCTGTAGTTCTGTGGTCATTCTATGCAGACAGATGTATACACAACACAATCCTAGTAGATCCTTAGTGGAAAACCCTCAATTTCTAGAACCTAGAACAATGCCTAATAATAGTATCTGATTTTTTAGTAAATGGGTAAATATGCTTGGTCAAAAAATATAATTTACCGTTTACAATTTAAGTGTGGTTTGGCTTTATATGCTTACTAAGAACCAAGAGCTATGTTAAGTAATTAGTATTAGCTATGTACACTGAGTGATCTCTGAATACATAATAATATGGACATTCTGTGTGTGTGTGTGTGTGTGTGTGTGTGTGTGTGTGTGTGTGTTAGAGACGAGGTGCATGAATTCGTGCATGGGTGGGGTCTGGCCAGCCTGGTCAGGGGGAGGTGACATGGGCGGTTGGCTGGCCTGCCTGCTTGTCGAAATCCTGGTCAAGGGGACAATTTGCATATCAGCCTTTTATTATATAGGATATACACTTAGTGGTCAGATTATTATGCATTCAGAGTTCATAGTAATATGGCCACTCTGTGCATATATGCATATCATCTTACAATAAATATTTATTAAGCCCCTATTCTATCTATGCCAGTTAGACTAAGAAGTACAGTGTACCTGTGGAAGTGACTAACCTCTTACTCCAACAGATGACTCCACGATAGACATTAACAACAACAAAACTTTAAAAGTTCAGATATCAGGTAGGTAATAGGTTGCTAAATCCTAGGGTAATGAGCAATTTCACTCCATTCACATGTCTTTATTTTTAAGGCAGGATTTAGAATGAATTTCTTAAAAGTTAAAATTAATTCACAAATAAAAACCATCAAACACCATAACCCAAGGGCCTTAATCCAGACTTTATGAACAACTTAAATGCAAAGTGCGTTTATATGTGCATCATCCTAAAAAAAAAAATCAACAGGTCTGCTCAAAAAGATTAAGAACTGCTTTCCCAACCCATGCTAATACAAGAATATTGTATTCACATTAACAAATTGGCAATTTTAATATTTACATGCAACCATTAGTACACAATAGTTAAAAAGAACCATAAAATTTTCATCAGCCTGAATATATATTTTCTGCCTATTCTGAGCAGACAGAGGAGCCCAGGAGGGGCTGAATGACAGAATTACAACAACTACTTGTTCCTAACAAGCAAAGTGGCAAGATCAGTTATTCTGGTGTCAATGAAAGATGGCTCATTTCCTGTCTACTTGGCTCACTGGTGTAGCTTGTCAATTTAACTCATCTGGTCATCAGTTTATAGATTCTTCTATTACACTAATGATCTTCTAGTTATAAAGACTGGTGTAGAGATTAACTGAACTAATATTTAGAAAGTACCCAAGGTTCCGTATCTGGTCATAAAGGAGGTACTCAAGTAGATGGCAATTTCAGTATTAAGATGGTATATTACATTGAACTCTTGGGCATAAACAGCTGTCACCCGTTAATGGTGGATCTCAAGTGCAACTCTGGATAAACATAAACAAAACAAGAAGTTATGAAAAGAGTTGCAAAAAATCTTACCCAACTCCCTGATTTTAAAGAAAACTCAGGCTCAGAGCTCATGCTGCCACTTGGCTGGTTGCTTCTCTCACAGGATCTAGTTCTCTTGGCCACCTGGCTACCATTCCTAATGAGGCTACACTGCACTGCCTAAGCACTCTGCAGGCTTTTTCTCCCAAAGAGGAGAGAACACACAACAGGAATTGGAAAAGATGAAATTTTTCTTTGTAATACATATGCTTGACTTAAACATTTAAATTTGAAACTTTTAAATTTGAAAAATAATAATATAAGGCAAATAAAAGTTGCATAGTTTGAGGGAAGCGTGCCTCAAAGGGCATAACATATTAAGACTTAAAAATTTAATTGATATTGACAATAACCTATCTGTAATGAGAAGAATGAAGACATAAAATATCTAACAGAGCTGCCTTAAATTTCCTAAGAACACTTTGGAAGTTACCTTTGTACTTCAATAGTTCCCATGGTTTCATAGGCAAAATCACATTTACTGTCAATTTCAATAGCTTTGCTGATAAGCTCCAAACCTCTATCCAGGTCTTGCTTCCACTGAAGTTGAAGTAAACTGCAAATGCAAAAAAGCAGTCAGATTGACCATGGGCCAATAGCAACAAGAATATAAGTATAAAACTCAATTTCTGCCCTCAATGAATTTTTAATTACAAAAAGAAAATAAAACCTAAAATAGTATATAATCAGCAAACTGTTTTTATTTCTCAATTTATATTTGTTTTGTATTCTAAATTCCTTATTATGAAAAAAGTGTCAATGGAAATAACCTAAGTGTCCATTGATGGGTGCATGGATAAAAATAAAAACACTTGGCACACACACATATGCACACAAGGAATATTACTGGAATGGGCCATAAAAGGAATCCTACCATTTGCAACAACTAGGATGGATCTTGAGAGCATTATGCTAAATGAAATAAGTCAGACAGAAAGTCAAATACTGCATGATCTCACTTATACATATATTCTAAAAAACAAAACAAAAACAAAAACAAAAAAAACATGAACAACAAAAACCAACCTACATATAAAGAGAACAGAGTGATGGTTCCCAGAGGCAGGAGTGAGGGGTGAGTGAAATGGGTGAAAGGAATCAAAAGGTACAAGCTTCCAGTTATAAAATAAGCAAATTATGGCAATGTAATATATGGAATGGCAGTTATAGTTAATAATAGTATTGTGTATTTGCAAGCTGCTACAACAGATTTTAAAGTTCTCATTACAAGAAAAAAAATTCTGTACGTACAAATACCTGTTAGACTTATTGTGATAATTTCACAATACTGACTACATTGTACACCTGAAACTAGTATATCTTATGTCAATTATCTCTCAATAAAAAAGAGAGGAGAAAGTGTTCAATAGTATGGGCTCTATATTAAGTGAAGTTTCTTTTTTATTACAGTTCAAGTACATGCTATGTTTCCTATTTGACACAAGTAACATTTCACAGAATGTTCAGAACTGAAATCCTTAAGCTAAATGAAATAGTACATTTATTGACTGCTATACAAGAATGAAACATAAGTAAAATTTTAAAAATTAACAGTGAAGCATCCATAGCATTAATAAATTTATTAACTCAGTAATACTCTGCACCACAGTACTTTCCTCAGTGACCAAAAGAAATCCATCCCATTATGCAAAAATTTATTTTTTTTATTGGAACAAACAGAAGCACAAAAATACATACCCTTTATGAACATAAGTTGTGGCATTATCTGGTTCCAAATCAATACATTTATCATACATTTCATCAGCTTTCCCAAACTGCTGCTGATCTGTTAATGCCTAGGTGAGGAGATACTTCAGTTATATTAACATAACTGTCAACCTAAACAGTTAAAAGCACATTGCTTATTAATTACAAAAATTACTTAATTTATCCATTTCTTTACAAATTATGATGTTTGGAGGATACAAAATGTTACAACTTAATTATGTTACAAATATGAAATCTTAAATGTCCACTATTTTTGACAAGTCATTCAACAGAATAGCCAACAATGTGGTGAGTGTGGAATACACAAAACCCCACTCTCATTGCAGTTCTAATATCAGATTTTCATAGTCACTTATTCATAACTTATCAAAACATATCCTAAAGGAATTTAAAGGCAATACTCATTATTTGAAAGGATAAATTCAGGCATGTGTGTTAAATGTCAGTTATTCCTTAAAAATTGATTTTTTTAAAAAAGCAGTTACAATGAACTGTTTTAAAGCAAATCCATGGCAGAAATCAAAGGGTTGGTTATGTGGATACCAGATCATACTCCAACTGTACCTTCGAGGTTTTTTTTTTTTAAGTTATACTATGTTCCTCCCTGTCTCCCTCCCTCTCTAAAAAGCAGTGGGAAAGATATCCTCAGGTAAGGATGAATTATAGAGAACTAGTAGAGGCCCGGTGCATGGATTCATGCACAAGAGGGGGTGTCCCACAGCCAGGCCTGTGCTCTCTACAATCTGGGACTCCGCAGAGGATGTCTGACTGTGGGTTAGGCCCGATCCTTGCAGGCGGCTAGGGAGGAGCCCAAGCTCGTACTCATCCTCATCCTGGCCCAGGGCGCCCGCCACTGCTGCTCAGCGCATCCTCGGAGTCAGGAGAGGCTCCCCCCGCTATGTTCGCCAGCCATGAGCCTGGCTTCTGCTGAGCAGCGCTCCCCCTGGGGGAGTGCACTGACCACCAGGGGGCCGCTCCTGCATTCAGCATCTGCTGCCTGGTGGTCAGTGCACATCATAGTGACTGGTCTTCCCGTCATTCGGTCATAATGGTTGTTAAGGCTTTTAATATATGCAGACAGTGTGTATCTATACTAATAAAAGAGTATACTAATTAGACCAGGAGACCTTCTGGACGACCATCCAGACATCCTTCCTGACAAAACCAGCTGGGTGAAACCGCCTGCAGCAGTCTTGGGCACCAGCGCCTACGCCTGCGGCTGGCTGTGGCCCGGGAGATGAAGAAGCTGCTTGCCCTGTGGTCCTGGGCCGCCAGCTGGAGAAGCCACTCTGGGACACGGAGAAGCTGCCTGCCTGCGGTGCCACTAATGCTTGAGGCAGGCTGTAGCCTGGGAGATGGAGAGGCGCCTGCCCCGAAACCCCAGGCTGCAGCCGGAGAAGCCACCAGCTCTGTAGGCCAGGCACCAGAGCCTGCGGCCTGGGAGATGGGTCCTCTCTTCTCTCACTGCAGTCATTTCTACAATATTCCCCTCTGAATTTCCCTCTGCTGCCCAACCCAACTCCACTTTTCACCTGAAGGATAGGGAACAGAGAGGGCAGTGTTAAAAGCTGACATTTTAAGCAGGTCATGTTGGTATTTAAACATATACATGGAAAACTAGTCCTTAAGGTAACAAAGGCTAGAAAGGGAGGGGACAGGGACAGGGCAAGACATATTATATCCAGCAATCCATGTGGGGACTGATAACTTTGCAATGATGACATGAAGATATGAATCAACTAAAATAGTTGGCAGGGACAATTCTTCCATCTTTGAAAGTAGATCAAGTCTGTTTAAATAGATTTTCATCTGCATAATATAACACATTCTGATACCACCACCACCAATGTGGTCAGTGTTGTGCTGGTAAATGTTTAACAACTGGGTGTCAAAGAAAACAAAACCCTGATTTATAGTATCTCCAATTTCTGTGGCATAAATTCTCCATCCATGGCTGATTTCAGCTGCTAATGTGATGCCACTAAATGCAGAGCTGAGGAGAACTGTGCAGTAGTACACTATTATATCCCACCAGAAAGACCCAAAGAAATAATGTTAAGAGTCAGAACAGGAAAGTGTAGTAAATAATTAAGGAGTGATGAATTTAGAGTATGTATTACCTTTGGTTTTAATGTAATTTATTCATTCTTAAGATTATATAGTTTAATTTTTAACAATGATCTTTAACAACCAGCTTGCAAAATGCCTGAAAATTTGTGAGCCAGTCAGAGCAGGCTCCGGCACAATGCTGAGTGGAATATAATTGTTAAAGGGCATGGCTCATGGATTTGAAACAAGACTCAGCCACTTTTAGGTTTCACTGGTCAAGTTACCTGATCTCTTTATACCTCAGTGTTCTCATCTGTGTAATTATGGTTATCTATTATGTAGAGTTGTTGCAAAGATACAATGAAATCTGTGTATGACAAGGCACAGTACCTGAAACAAATTCACTCAATTTGTTATAAACTGTTACTACCTCAATATGTAGCTGACAAAATTACTCTACTCATGCTGAAAGAATGAAATTTTACTAATGAGAAAAATACCTTATTTTGCAATCTACATAGAGACAGTCAATTTTGCTTCCTAGACAGTAGATGGTGATCTACTACTAGAAACTGAAAGGGGGAAAATGACCTCAACTAACCACCAGGGAGCTGGATCATAGAGCAGGGAGGATGCCATACATTCTGGGATACATCTGCAGTAAGAGGCTTAGCCTCAGGCATTAATTCAGATCAACTAAGCATCAGACTGAAGATGAATGGTGAGAAGGATTCTGAGGCTGCTTCTAGACTTAGCAGAAATAGAACTACTTTAATACATAAGCAATAGTTACTATGGCTAATGATGGTAAGAAAAAACACAGCATGATCTATACCAATAAAAGACCAGACATCTTCCGGGCAACCACCCGCACGTCGGGCCCAAGCATGCCGGGCCCAAGCAAAGCCACCTGCCAGTGGTCTCAGGCACCAGCGCCTGCAGCTGGCTGCGGCCTGGGAGACAGAGAAGCCGCCTGCCCCTCAGTCATGGGCTATGGCCAGCTGGAAAGCTGCCTGCCTTGTAGTATTGGGTGCCAGTGCCTTCGGCCGCCTGAAGGAGGGAATCCTGGGTCCCGGGTGCGAGGCAAAGGCAGAGGATGTTAGGAGTGAGCAAGCCAGCAGGGGAGCAGTCGGGGGTGATCAGGCTGGCAGGCAGAAGCGGTTAGGGGCAATGAGGCAGGCAGGCAGGTGAATGGTTAGGAGCTAACGGTCCTGGATTGTGAGAAGGACTGTCCGACTGTCTGGGATCAGACCTAAACCAGCAGTCATACATCCCCCAAAGGGCCCCAGATTGGAGAAGGTGCAGGCCAGTGTGAGGGACACCCCCCCATGCACGAATTTCGTGCAATAGGCCACTAGTATACGTATATAAAATTACATGTAATTATGTATATAGTGAAGCAAAAATAAGGAAACCACAGAATAGACATTTTAGCATAGACTATGATACTAGTGCTAATAAAGATAGTTCAGGTAAGCCAAAATCTATTTTTGGTAGCACAGTGACAAGAAAATGTGTAAGAAAGTTCTGGGAGACCTGTTCCTAATATAGGTTTCTTTAAAAAGCTATTCAGTGGCCTTTGTTCTTTTAGCTGCTTATAGAACTCTGCATCAAAAAGGCCTTCTGCTTTGTTCCTAATATAAAGCATAAACCCAAGTGTACCTATTCAATACAAAAGTTACACAATTGTAATGTGCATTTTCTTATTTTAAATTCTATCCATTCTTTAAAATTTTATATAGTACATGCTATCACAAGGAATATAGAGCAACTATTGTTCCCCCCCCCCTTTTTTTTAAGTTATTATCGGCCATTACCATTTAAACTATAAGGACAAAGACCGAAGAAATAAGATTACTTCTGAGATTAAAGAACTTCTGTGTTTACTTCATGTCCCAGAGAGTTAGTTAATAGAGAATTTCAATATCTGATAATACACTGATATGTAGAACTATTAAAGGATAGATCCAACACAAATCAGTCTTCTCACAGTCCCTTACCATAAATCCTCAAAAAAAAGTTTCACCCATGGGACTTTTTTCTTTAACTTTACTGAAGACTACATGAAGGAACTTAAAAAAAAAACAAGCAACCTGAAGAATGGTTTGGAGGTAGAAATCTACCACAGCTGGTCATTTTTGAATGTTTTCTATTGCATTTCTGAGATGTGGGTGTGACAACATTTCTTTGGAATAAAAAAAAAAATCATATAGAATACTGAGATAGATGATTTATGCAGACACCAAAAGCAACTTTTAAAAATTAGTTAGTTTTCAAAGATTTCAGATTACAATCGAACAGTGGAAATAATTCAAACTTAAATCAAACTTCCCCCAAAGCTTCAATCCTAAACCAAGAATTTTAGGCAAACCAAAGAGGAGTTAAGATGAACACTTTACAGCCTATCTAATCATTTCAAAGGATATTGATCAAATAGATCAGTGGTTCTCAACCTTTCTAATGTTGCAACCCTTTACTACATTTCCTCATGTTGTGGTGACCCCCAACCATAAAATTATTTTCGTTGCTACTTCATAACTGTAATTTTGCCACTGTTATGAATCATAATGTAAATATCTGCTTTCTGATGGTCTAAGACTCTACAGTCGCGACCCACAGGTTGAGAACCACTAGCAGGGTCGCCTAAGACCATTGGAAAACACTGATATTTATGTTATGATTCATAACAGTAGCAAAGTTATAGTTATAAAGTAGCAACGAAAATAATTTTATGGTTGGGGTCACCAGAACATGAGGAACGTGGCATTACAAAGGTTGAGAACCACTGAAATAAACAAAAAGCTTCCATATTTTTCCTTCCTTGAATATAGTAAATTTTCCTAGGTTTCATTTGATAAATCCAATCCAAATGAAAACATAAGGTAAATGGTCTGCTTAAACTTCCCCACGTTATGAGTTTAGGGTCACGGTTTTCCAACTGAGTAACATATGAGCCCCTTTTGAAGGGGCTCAGGACCATCCTGGGGGCCCCAGAGAATCACAGAAGAAACATAGCGTTGCTTTCTGATTTCTCTACTGGGATTCAGCACATAAGTACACATCTTTAAAAAAGAAAAAAAAGGACAAGCAACTAATAAAGTATGAAAAATCACACTTACCTGGGCATATAGTGCATAGCCTTCAGCACACCTGGGAAATTTCTTTATGACCTCTTCAAACCCTTTCATAGCTGCTTGGATTTGTGAAGAATTGTTTCCTGTATATGCCTGGCGATACTGTTTAAAAAAAACAAAAAAAAAAACAGGCCTGTTAAATCAAGAATTCAAAACTCATGGAATGTTAAAATATTATAAAAGTTACACAAAATTACATAAATATTTCCAGAAAGGCAGGAGTTACACTAACATAATTTGCTGCATCTAAAAGGGTTCCAAGAAAGCCCTGGTTGGTGTTGTTCAATGGTTAGAGCTCAGGTCTGTGAAAGGAGGAGTGATGGGTTCAATCCCCAGCCCTGCTCAGGGCACATGTGGGAGGCAAGTAATCAGTATGTCTTTCTCACATCAACGTCGTGATTCCCCCTCACCCCCCCCAACTCTCTAAAAAGCAATGGAAAAAAATATGCTTGGGTGAGGCTTAACAAAAAGAAATAAATAATAAACACAAGGATTCCAAGGAAATAACTCAGCAGCAGGGTATTCAAAGGCTACGTACAGCTAGGTCTTTGCTGATTATACAAATTCCAGGATGTTCAGTAGAAGGGGGCATTCTAATGTATCAGAACTTAACTTGTATATAAATGGGGGAATTTTAAACCTATTATCACTTTACTACAAATGTTACTTTATCTAATATCATTTTTACCTAAAATATACAGGACAGACCAAAATTACAATGATGGTCCTATAAGATTATAAGGGAGCTGAAAAATTCCTATTGCCTAGTGACTTAGCCACACCAACATCATGATGCAATGCATTACTCACGCATTTGTGACAATGCTGTTGTAAACAAACCTACTGTGCTACTCGTCATACAAAAGTATAGCACCTACAATTATGTACAGCACATAATACTAGATACTGATAATAAATGACTATATTACTGATTTATATATTTACAAGACTAAATACTTTATCATTATATCTTCAATTGCAGTCTATTTACAAAAAGTTTGCTGTCAAACATATATATGTGTGTGTATGTATGTGTATATCTATGTATTATGTATACATATATATACATATATGTGTACACACACACACACACACACACACACACACACACACCCTGTTTTATGCAGGTAGAAGCCTCAGATACCTCATATTTACTGCATCTCTTAATTGCATAATTTTCTGGTGCTTGATTCAATATCATGTTTTACCTAGTAACCTGCTGCACAGGTTTGTAGCCTAGGTGTTTAGTAGGCTATGCCATTTAGGTTTGTGTAAATGTACTGTGATATTCGCACAATAACAAAATCACTTAAAGACACATTCCTCAGAACATATTCTTATTGTTAAGCAGTGCATAACTGTAAATGTGTTTGTGATCCAATTTCTTTCTTTAAAAGGAAAATCATTTTAGGACTCAAACTATAGAGGGTGGATGAAAAGGAGCCACACACTAAACTTGGCAAGGTCAGGGGAGGCCTGTGGGAAACCTAAAGTATCCACACAGGATGGTCTGAAATTAAAACTTCCTAACTAAAAGCAGTTCATGGGGGGTAGTCATGTCCAAAGATGATATTCTTCCCTAACAAAGGTTTCCCTAACTGAGTTTGTCGTCTCTCATCTAGAATAGCATACTGACAAACATAAGATGGCGGTTAATTTGCATACACAGGCACTGAGTGATGGGGGAAAGACACAGGTTTCTGCCCCGCCCCGATCTCTCAGGCCTCTGGGCAGCGTGGAAAGGGGGTGCTGGCAGCCTGGGAAAGGAAAGCCCATTCTAGCATAAATATTCGAGCATCCAGCTTCTAGTGTAAAAGATGTGTCTATCGTTTTACTTTTCATCCAATGCCAGAGGTTTCCCCACTTTGTTTTCTCCAGCCTCCTTCATCTATCATCAATAAATTCCATGTAACCTACAACTTGTTTTTTTATGGTAATGTATAAAGAAGGCGCAAAACCGCCATTTTCCAAAGCGTTTTCTCAATCCATTGAGATTTTTCTTCCTGACAACTGTCAGTTTGGCTCAAATAAACTCACAAAAATTCTTACAGGTTTGGTCATTTCCTGTGGTTCACAAGAGCTATTGGAGTACCTCATTTCACTATAAATTGAATTATTTTACTTGATTTTCAGTGTTTCTGATTTTAATAGTTTTACAAAGGCGAGATGAACTTGCAGATAATATGGTGTCATGATTGCGGCTAGTTTCTCAAAATGCTTTTGTTCTCTGTACTAGTTTATGGAAGAGGACCAGGAAGAACAGTGCTAAACAGGGGAGCATAAAAATCAGGGATAGACATCTATCAAGATGAACACAGCCAAAACTGGTTTGGCTCAGTGGATAGAGCGTTGGCCTGCGGACCGAAGGGTCCCGGGTTCGATTCCAGTCAAGGGCATGTACCTTGGTTGCGGGCACGTCCCCAGTGGGGGGTGTGCAAGAGGCAGCTGATCGATGCTTCTCTCTCATCGATGTTTCTAACTCTCTATCCCTCTCTCTTCCTCTCTGTAAAAATTCAATAAAATATATTTAAAAAAAAAATGAACACAAATAATACAACCAGAGAAATACAGAAACAGTACCTCAATAAATATATGTATACATTTCCTTCTCTAAACTAACTTGTTTTCCCTCTAGGTGTATCCTTTGGGGGAAAAAGAAAAAGATGATTTTACGGATAATGAGGGAAATAAAAATGATGTGTAGGAATAAAAAAAGAAAGTAGAACCTACCAATGCAAAGCATTTCTGTGCTTGTGCCAGGGCAGACTCAGGTCTTAATCTAATACATTCATCAAAATCTGCCACTGCTTCTTCAACTTGATCAAGCAATATTTTCAGCTAAAAAAAAAAACAACACACACAAACATATATATATATAAACACGTCTCAAAATAATAAGTGTACTCACCCCCAGTTAAGTACATACTATCTTTTATCAAAGCTCAGTATAATGCTAATAGCATATAGTAATTATTCAATATAGAATTACTTTCTAGAAACAATAAACTAGGAAAATATTATAATTTTAAAGAAAGCTTCTACATCTTAAAACTAGTGTCCAATTTCTTAAAAAGCACTAAAAACCCACCATTTTGCACTGCAATTTTGACCACTCTTTTTTTTATTTTTTAAATATATATTTTATTGCTTTTTTACAGAGAGGAAGGGAGAAGGATAGAGAGTTAAAAACATTGATGAGAGAGAAACATTGATCAGCTGCCTCCTGACCACTGCCTACTGGGGATGTGCTCACAACCAAGGTACATGCCCTTGACTGGAATGGAACCTGGGACCTTTCAGTCGGCAGGCCGACACTCTATCCACTGAGCCAAACCGGTTAGGGCAATTTTAACCACTCCTTTCTTCTAGAAAAGTAGACATTTCTGTACTTTCAAATTTCAAAGCAAATCAGATCATTCAATAATTACTTTTCAAATTAACCTTAAGATACTACCAGTAAGGATCAAAATGTCAGGAATTTTAAGAATGTCAACACTTCTTCAAATCCTTCAGACAGAACTATTAGGTACAATTCTCCATTAGAAAGAACTTCAGCTTTTGTTATTGAGTGGATAGCCCATATTTTCTACCATAATACATTCCACCAAGTCACAATAAACAAGCAGATTAAAAAGCCATGCTTTCTCCAGATGAAGCTAAAACTTGGAACTGTTTATTTCACTATATTTATATATCTATCTATCTATATATATATATTTTTTTTTTTGCTAAAAACCAAATATGCAGATTGTAAATCTCCAATAAGATATTTTGTGTGTGGCTGAAACCGGTTTGGCTCAGTGGATAGAGGACTGAAAGATCCCAGGATCGATTCCGTCAAAGGCTTGTACATTGGTTGTGGGCACATCCCCAGCGGGGGGTGTGCAGGAGGCAGCTGGTCGATGTATCCCTCTCATTGATATTTTTAGCTTTCTATCCCTCTCCCTTTCTCTCTGTGAAAAATCAATAAAACATATTTAAAAGAAAAATACTCTTTAAAAAAAAAAAAGATATTTTGTGTGTGTATTGTTTGGATAGTCTAGGCTAAGTATTTCTTGACAGCAAGAAACCCACAAAAACCATTGCATTAATTCAAAATGCTCATTAAATGTTTTTAATATTTTACACATTGAAAATCAATGTACTGGAAACACCTGAAAAACAAACTTGAACTAGCAAGCCAATATCTGTAGCCTTCCTTTTCTTCTTTTTAATAAGTAAATACTGATATTATAAGGATAAATGTTCAAGAGGAGGACTGTGATCATTTGTTCAGAATGATCTGAATTGATATAAGAAAACTTTAAGACATTCTCAAATATGGATATCAAATTCCTTAATCGGAGATCAGAACTCTTGGTAAGAAAATAGACTTACCTGTCCTCGGTGATGATAAACATCTGCATTCTGAGGATCAATGTCAGCAGCCATGTTAAAATCCTGAGTGGATAGCAAAGGCTGCTGCTGCTGCATGTACATACTGCCCCTTTTGATGAGTGCATTTGCTCGAAGCTACATGCCCCAAATGAGAAAAGGGTCATCATTACTACCTTATATCCCAATGTAGTTTAGAAACAAACAAACAAACAAACAAACAAACAGCTGTATTGAGATATAATTCATATACCACGAAATTCATTTAAAATCAATTGTTTCTAGTATATTCAGAGTTGTACAACTATCACCACTATCTAATTCCAGAACCTCATCATTATCTCCAAAAGAAACTTTATACACATTAGCAGTCACTTCTCATTTCCTCTCTAATCCATCAATCTACTTTCTACTTCAATGAATTTGTATATTCTTGGGCATCTCGTTAAGATGGAATAGTCTTTTGTGTCTGGCTTTTTTCACTAAGTACGTTTTTAAGGTTCATGTGGTTATAGCATGTTACAGTACTTCATGCTTTTTTATAGCTGAATATTATTCTGCTAGAGGCTCGATGCACAAAATTCGTGCAAGAGTAGGCTTTCCTTCCTTCAGCTGCTTGGCACTGGCTTCCCTCACAGCCCCAGCTTTACCTGGAAGGTTGTCCAGGATATCTGGTCTAATTGGCATATTGTGCTTTTATTATTATAGGTTGTATACCACTTTTCTTTATCAACTCATACCTTGATGGACATTTGAGCTGCTTCCACTTTTTAGCTATCATGAATAATGCTGCTATGAACATTCATGTACAAGTTTTTGTGTTGCCTTATATATTCAACTAGAGGCCTGGTGCATGAAAATTCATGAACTGGAGGTGGGGGTCTCCTCAGCCAGGCCTGCCCCCTCTCACAGTCCGGGAACCCTCAAGGGTGAGAGATGACTGCCGGCAGCACAAGCCTCAGCCAACCCTGGTTACCTGAGCCTTGGTTGGCTCTGGGTAGCCCCCATCAGAGGCTTGCCTGTGCCTCGGGCTGGCCCGAGGTGGCTGGGGGCTGAGGGTACTGGGGGACTCTGGAGGCAGGCACACGGAGCAGCCAGGCCCACATGGGGACAGGCCCGACTTGCCATGCACCTGTGCCCAGTGGGGCTGAGGGGACTGGGTGCTGCCATCTTGAGACTGTGGGGACTGTGATCTTTTGAGGGTTTGGCAGTCAATTAGCATATTCCCCCCTCATTGGCTGTGGGCACCATCATCTTTGCAATGGCATGAGGTTAATTAGCATATTCCCTCTTTATTAGATAGGATTCTCTTGGGTATATGTCTAGGAGAGGAACTGCTGGGTCTTATGGTAACTCTTATCAATAAACTCCCAAACTAATTTCCAAAAAAAGTTTTACTATTTTACATTCTTGGGAGCAATGTATGACAGTTCCAATTTCTCTACACCCTCATCAATACTCTTCACTGTCTACTTTCTGACTATAATCATCCTAGTGGGTGTAAAGTAAAATCTCATTGTGATTTGGATTTGAATTTCCTTAAGAGTTAATGATGCTGGGCATCTTTTACTGTCCTTATTGGCCATTTTAATATACTAGAGGCTTGATGCACGAAATTCGTGCAAGGGCCTTGGCCCTGGTGGGCCCCTATCTACTGTGGCTTTTTCCAGAAGGAAGGATGTCTGGTCTAATTAGCATATTATGCTTTTATTATTATAGATTCTTTGGAGAAAATGTCTACTCAGAGCCTTCAACCTGTTTTTAAATTGAATTGTTTTAGTAAGAAGAGTTCTTCATATATTCTGGATACAAACCCCTTATCAGATACAGAATCTATATTTTCTCATATTCTGTGCAATGTGTTTTCTCTTTTTTGATGGCATCCTTTCAATCAAAAAAGTTAAAAATTTTGATGAAATCTTTTCTTTATTGCTGTTGCTTAGCTTTTGATGTCATATCAAGGAATCACCAAATAATCAAAGGAAAGCTGTCCTCCTATTTTTTTTTTTTTTCCGTAAGAGTTTTATACTTTTAGCTCTTACATTTAGGTCTTTGATTCATTTGAGTTAATTTCTGTACAAGGCATATGATAGACATCATTACTACTTGCCATTCAAACAAAAAGTCATGATCATAATAAGCAAGATACAGAGATCCCCAGAACTTTTTTTCAAGACAAGCTTACATGTCTTCCTGAATGAAATGAACAGGAATGCCCCCACATTTTAACAAGAACACCTAACAACGTTTGTAATTAGTAGGAAAATCATTAGGAAATAAAATTAAAATTATTAGGGTATCTTCAGCTTTAAAATTTCATTTTAAAAGTAACTTAACAAATATTGTTATAACTACTTTTGTTTACAGAAAGTTTAGATATTTATTGACAAGTATTTAAGTCTTTATTACAACTTTTATACATGAATGATTTCTTTGCAGGTGGAAAAAGCCAGAGTTTTCCTAATTTCATGAGGAAACAGGTCAGAGTGAACAACTGGTAAGGAAGAGTTAGTTGATGGCTAAGTTCTGTCATGCTATACTTAGTAGAGACCTCTCAAAATTTAACAGACATCCCAATGTTAATTATGAAAATAACTACATACACATAAGAACACTTGGAAAATGAAAAGCTGTTCCAATGACACACTGCAAAACTTTTGGTAAATGTTAGTACCTATATCATATTTTTAGATCCTGTATTTTTCCTCCAGTTAAAAATAAAAAATTACTGGCATCCTAATAAAATCTCACAGAATATATTATTAAATGTGCTTATTTTTATTAAATGCACTTTATAACCTTGTACTACCTAAAGCATATAACTTACAGCATTACATTTACTATTTCACTGACCAAATATAGTCCATTACATAGGCAATGCTACAAATGAGGAGTGAAGCTACCGAATGCTTTAGGAAAAATATTTCCCTTTCCTAGCTAAAAATAAACGTCACTGATATTTATATTGTAGTTTCATTACACCAACTCAATTATCATTAGGGGTAGTTCCTTTCAAAACAAAAGTAGCCTTCTGGAGAATGACAGTGAAATGCCAAAATTTTGGCAAAACAGATCTAAAAACCTCATTTTTATTTATTCATTTTTGCAGAAGCACAAAAGCACATTTTAATACGTACCTTCACATTAGCTTCTTTCAAATTGATGACCTTGTCTAAATCTGGTTTAGCTGCGTTGGCATTGCCAATAAGCAGGTAGAAGGTAGCTCGTAGTAATAATGCTTCTGCCATGTATTTGCCTTGAGCATCTATTTCTTTTGAGCATTCACTTATGATCTTATCATAGTTTTCTTCTTCCATGTATTGTTTGGCCTTTAAATATCCAGAACTGAAAATAAAATGAATATAGATCATTTACGAAGAGAGGATGAAATGCTACAACTTGCCACACTTAGTAGACCCGAATTAAGCAAACATCCATTTCCCCTTAATGAGCTAGTCGGCCAGTGTGGGAAAGCAGCAGGGCAGGAGATAACAGGAGTCTTGATTTTCATGATGCTTGAATAATTTTTTAAAAGGAATCAGCAGAGTCAGTAGCAAAAACCTGAAGTTACTGCCCAAACGTCAACATTTAAACACTTGAAAAGAACAGGGCAAGTCTTATTCACTTTCTTATCTGTGGCACATTGATGGCATGCAACAGTTATTTTATGACTAACAGAGAGGATAAAGAAATCCTATATAATAAAAGGCTAATATGCAAATAGACTAAAAAGCAGAATGACCAGTCTCTTGACATGCACTGACCACCAGGGGGTTGGTGCTCAATGCAGGAACTGGCCCCCTAGTGGTCAGTGCGCTCCCACAGGGGGAGTGCTGCTCAACAAGAAGCCAGGCTCATGGCTGGCAAGCACAGCAGCGGTGGCAGTCAGATATCCCTTGAGGGCTCCCAGACTGTGAGAGGGTGCAGACAAGCTGAGTCACGGCCCCCCTCCCTCCCAGACCCCCAATGCACAAATTTCATGCACCAGGGCTCTAGTTGGAAATAATTTAGGTCAGGGACACAAAGGCCAAGGGAAGAGGGTGTGACCAAAGCTGTACTTTGTAAAGATGAGCAAGGGAGCAAGACTAGAAGCAGAGCAATATCTGCAGGGCTTTCATCCAGAAGTTGTGTTGTTTTACTTATAAGAACAGACCTAGAAAGAATAGGTGAAAATATCAAACAAGCAAATTTAAAGGTAGATTCTCCCATAAAAAGTACTTTAAAGACATCCTTCCCTACTTCTTAAATTCAGTGACTACAATATCATTATTCATCTAAGATGATGACTATTATCAAAGGTGCTTACAGGAGAGATTTCCTTGAACTGAAAAGGAATTTATAATAGATGAGCTTATAAGAGGTGTTATAAACATAAGATATTATAAATGGAAGTACATTTTCTCATTCCACTTGTTATATATTTTGAATAAAAAAAACTGACAAATGACTTGAGTTGTTGGTCAAGCCTGGCTGGTATGGCTCAGGGGTTGAGCACTGACCTATGAACCAGGAGGTCACGGTTTGATTCACAGTCAGGGAACATGCCTGTGTTGCGGGCTTGATCCCCAGGGTTGGGCAATCAATTATTCTCTCTCGTCATCAATGTTTCTATCTCTCTCCCTCTCCTTTCCGCTCTGAAATCAATAAAAATACATATTTTTTTAAAAAGTTGTTGGTCAAAATCTTACAAATTGTGTGCTAATAACCTTTCCTACAGTTAGATTCTAAAACCCCCTTATACTCTAGTTTTGTTCCTCAGGTCACCAGGCTAAGAAAATAATTAAATCAGTATGGAAATAATAATGGTCCTAACTTATTGAGAATCTAAGTGCATGCTTACAAATATAACCTTTAAACTTCATAACAACCCTCAAAGGTAAATATTATCAGCCCCAGTTAAAAAATGATGAAGCTACAGTTCAGAGTAAAATAAAATTCAAAGACTTAGACCCGATTCCAGCTAGTGTTTTGGTGACAGGTAGCTGCCGCCTCTCAATATATCTTTTAGAATAATAGTATTAACATCATAGTAGTTTTGCTGGGACAATGACCTTTTTCCTAACCAGAAGAGGAAATTATTGGCATAATTTTAAACATTTACTTCCCAACAACTATCTTCTGAAAAGACTAAGTATCAACTAAAATTTGAACATCTTAGTACCATTATGCATAGTATCTTCCTCCTTAAAAACTGGCCAATAATGCTGGAAAATTTGAGAAATAGAAATGAAAAACGATCTCTATCCTGGACCCAGAGGGAATTATGTTAAAGTGAAATAAGCCAGTCAGAGAAAGACAGTGCCATATGATTTCACTTACATATGGCATCTAATGAATAAAATAAACAAAACAGAAACAGACTCATAAAACAAAAACAACAGGCTAACAATGTTAGAAGGGAAGGGGGTTAGGAGGCCAGGTGAAAAAGGTAAAGGAGTTAAGCAAAAACTAATAAAATCATAGACAAAGACTAACAGTATAGTAATTACCAGAGGGAAAGAGGAGTCGAAGCGGGTGGAAGGGGCTAAATGGTGAAGGAATGAGACTTGACTTGGGTGGTGAACATACAATACAATATACAGAGGATGTATCTAGGATTGTACATCAGAAATCTTTATAATTTTATTAGCCAGTAACCCCAATGAATTCAAATAAAATAAAATAAAAAGCTGGTTAAGAGACATTTAAAATTAAAGAATAAAAAAGCAATGTTTCCTTAAACCTCCTAATATGGTTATAGATGGAAAACTATGCTTTTCTATAAAATACTTCCTTTTCTTCCAAATTCATTTAGAAACGTCATTTTGGTAATAATAGTGTACCTTTTCCTGGAGAGGAAAGGTAGCCTTAAAATCAAAACGTAAGTACTGATAAAAACAAATGGACAAGCAGGCTAGATGGCTTATGTACTAGACTGTACCACTGATCTCCAGTTGTAAACATGGCATCCTATACTGCTCTCCAAAAGAGCAAAGTCAAGAAGCCTAGAAAACGGCATTTTCCTGAGCAAGCAGAAAAAAGCCTGAAGAAAGTCATTTTTGGGAACTCCTAAGCATCTCAGTTTATAAATTATAAACTTCCCAATACTAAAACATTTGAATATTCAATTACATAATAATTTTCAAGTTAATGTCCCTATTTGAACAGTTGATCACCTCACTCACTGGGAATCCTCTTGTGAATATCACTAGGACCCTAAAAGCAGGGCAAACTCCTGCTAGTAAAACCTTAAACCACCGGAGAAAAACTCTCAGGATGTGTAATAGACACATGTGAGAAGTATTTTTATTATAACAGTGCTATAGGATATTTATTTATTTATTTATTTTAGATGAGTCAGAACCCCATTTAGGCACATAAAAAACAAAACTAAGCCCTAGCTGATTTGGCTCAGTGGATAGAGTGTGAGCCTGTGGACTGAAGGGAAGGGGGTTAGGAGGGGGTTAGGAAGGGGGTTTGAGTCTGGTCAAGGTCAATGCCCAGGTTTCGGGCCTGATTCTCCAGTGTGGGTGTGCAGAGAAGGCAGTTGATTAATGATTCTCTCTCATCTTTGATGTTTCCATCTCTCTCTCCCCGTTTCCCTTCTTCTCTGAAATCAGTAAAAATATATTTTTTAAAAACAAAACAAAAACAAAAAATCCCCCCCAACCCAGCCCAGCAATGTGACTAAGTAGTTGAGTCAACCCATGAATCAGGTCACAGTTCGATTCCTGTATGAGGCTTGATTCATCTAAGATTCAACAGGAGTAGTGCAAAAGGAAGCCACTTAATGATTCCCTCTCATCATTAATGTTACTCTTTCCCTTCCTGTCTCTGAAATCATTGAAACATATTATAGACTAGAGGCCCAGTGCACAAAATTCATGCAAGGGGTGTGTGTGTCCCAGCCCAGCCTGCACCCTCTCCAATCTGGGACCCTTCAAACAATCCAGGACTGCTGGCTCCTAACTGATCACTTGCCTGCCTACCTGATTGCTCCTAACTGCTTCTGCCTGCCAACCTAATCAGCCTCTAACCATTCCCTTGCCATCCTGATTGATGCCTAACTGCTCCCCTGCCAGCCTGATTGCCCCTAACTGCCCTCCCATCTTGTGTGTTGGAATGACAGTCAATTTGCATATTACTCTTGTATTAGATAGGATAGAGGCCTGGTGAATGAGTGGGGGCTGGCTGGTTTGCCCTGAAGGGTTTCCTGGATCAGGGTGGAAGTTCCCTTGAAGCGTAAGGCAGCCTAGGTGAGGGGCCTGTAGTGGTTTGCAGACTGGCCATGCCCTCCCGACAACCCAAGTGGAGGATCTAGTATCTGGGATTTATTTATCTTCTATAATTTAAACTTTGTAGCCTTGAGTGGAGGCCAGAACAGGTGGGAAGCCTGGTTTCCTCCACTGCCAGGGAAACTCAAGCCTCCTGCTTGCTCTTTGGCTGCATCCGTCTTGGTAGGGTTAATTTGCATACTCACTCCTGATTGGCTGGTGGGTGTAGCAGATGTATGGTCAATTTGTATGGTCAATGGTTTCTCTTTTATTAGTGTAGATATATACATATATAAAATATCTCTCCCAAAATAAGCAGATACTATACTTAACACACTTACTTTTCTTTCACTTCTAAAACCTCCCCTTCCTTGTCTTTATCTTCATCAGACTTCTCTCCTTTAAGCATGGGCTGAGAAATTATATCATCTGTGAAAGAACTGAAGTAAGATTTGATAAACTGTGGAGATGGCATCAGAGGTTCACGATTCTGAAATTCAATCATATTTAAATACATCAAAATGAGAAAACACAAACCAAAAAAGCAGATACATTTATATAACACTGAGAATGACATAAAAATTGGAATCTCTTTTTTAAATAACTGAGGAATATTAGGTTCCATACCATAGGACAGCAGAAATGGTAAAGCTGTCAGCCCTAGCTGTTCAAAGCAGGTTTTAAGTGAGAACATTTCCCTTCTTCAAAGATGTAAAATGTTAAGAAATCTTAGAACCATTCATTAGCCAAGCCAGCATGGCTCCGTGTTTGAACATCGACCTATGAATCAGGAGGTGGTTCAATTCAGGGCATATGCCCCAGTTGTAGGCTTGATCACGAGTGTAGGGCATGCAGGAGGCAGCCTGTCAATGATTCTCTCTCATCATTGTTGTTTCTATCTCCCTCTCCCTTCTCTCTTCCTCTCTGAAATACAAACACACTAGGTGTACCAGTTAATGATGTGGATTTTGTAATCAAGGAAAACATAAATTTTTTAATTTATTTTTATTTTTTTAAATATATTTTATTGATTTTTACAGAGAGGAAGGGAGAGCGATAGAGTTAGAAACATCGATGAGAGAGAAACATCGATCAGCTGCCTCCTGCACACCGCCTACTGGGGATGTGCCCGCAACCAAGGTACGTGCCCTTGACCAGAATCAAACCTGGCACCTTTCAGTCCACAGGCCAATGGTCTATCCAGAGCCAAACCAGTTTCGGCAAACATGACAATTTTAAAGAGACACATCAAAATTGCTTTATTCAAAGTAATGTCCGTCATTAGCTACACATTTCCCCATCTTTCAGGTAATTTGTGGATATCCCAATAGAACTTTTCTTGTTTTGAAGCAAATCATTCAGAGGCCTAATTTTCCACTTCTTCGTACGTTTTGAAGTGCTGCTCAGAAAGTATGTGTGCCATCGATTGGAATAAGTGGTAATCTGAAGGAGCAAGGTCTGATGAATATGGCAGGTGGGTTAATATGCCTCAGGCAAGATCTTTTAATGTGTCTTTAACTATTTTTGAAGTGTGTGATGGTGCATCATCATGAAGGAAAATTACTTTGCCGTGTCTTCTGTCACATTCTGGTCATTTTACAATGAAAATGTGGTTCAAATTGATTACTTATTGTCAGTACCTGATTTTAGAAGCTCATAATACATCACACCTTCCTGATCCCACCAAACTCAGAGAATTGTCTTCTTTTTTAAGCAATTTGGCCTTGCAGTCAATGTTGATGGTTAACCTGGATCAACCCATGATTTTGTGCATTTGAGATTCTCAAAATATAAAATATATCCACTTTTCATCGCCAGTCATAATTCAATGCAAAAAAAAAAAAAAAAAAAAGACTTTCTTTCATGCCAGTGAAGCAACATTTTACTGATGACTTTTCGGTTTTCCACTTGTCTTTCAATCATTGATATGGCACCCATTTTCCTTTAAAATCTTTCCCATTGCTTGTAAACAATCTGAAATTGTTTGCTGAGCAACATTTAATCTTTCTGCAAATTGTTTTTGACTTTGACAAGCATCTTCATCCAATAAATGCTTACAATTGTTGATCTTCAAACTTTTTTGGTTAACCTGGACGTTCTTTGTCTTTCACATTGAAATTATCACTTTTAAAGCATTGAAACCAGCATTCTCAAGTATCCTGAGATGGAGCATGGCCACCATAAGCTTCCAAAAGTATACGTTAACTTTTCAGTAGTACTTTTCTTCAAAATAAAGTAATGAATTAAAACTCCTTCAAATGCTCTTTTTTATGGCACGAAATTCAACATTTTTAAGCATAAAGATACCTATGATGTTAACACCTTGACATATGAAGTTTTGAAGCTTGTTGTCAATACAACAAAATAGCATACATATCAAATCATATGTATCAATATATGTATAATTCCATCTATTGAAAAAATCCACATCATTAACTGGCATACCTAATATATATATACACCATTCACTAAAAGTAAAAGAAGATAAAATCTAGAATCCAGGAGACAAATAACTGCTGAGTTAAAATGATATCCTTCTGGTCCCTGTCCTAGGACACTATAATATTAATAGCATCTCAGTTCACCATTGAAGACCATGTCTTACAAACGCGTTGACATGTGAAGTCTACATCCCATGGGCCTTCATCTGTCCTCTGTACTGCATCTGAATATCTCCATTAGAATTAAGTGCCAATTAAAAGCCAGAATGAGATCATATTTCCTGTAAGTTATTGCTTTTTGGCATGGGAAACTCACTCACAATCACATAATTATAGTAGCATTTTGTTTTTTCTTATAGTACAACTAAGATGATAAAGTTTTAAAGGTAGAGAGAAGAGGAAGTAACAGCCAAAGGGCTCTCATAATATATATTGGATCCTTTATGTACAAAATTCAACCAAAAAATTTTTAAGTAAAAATATAGTATTTAAAAATGTATATCAAATATCATTGTTATTTTGGTAGATTATTTTGAAAATTTATTTTTATTATTGATTTAGAGAGGGAAAGGGAAAGATAGAAATATCAATGAAGAGAATCATTGATTGGCTACCTCCTGCATGCTCCAAACTCCTAAAAAATGATATGGAGTCTATGTAAATATCGGTTAACTTGTATTTTCTTACGACCCTTCAATTCAATCAGTACAATTCCTTAACAATAATCTATAATAAAAGGGTAAAATGCTAATTAATCCAGATGTCCTTCTGGAAGTTATTTTGTACGTCCTTCCTGATGAAGCTGGGGCTGGAAGGAAGCCAGCCCGGGTCCTGGTGCGGTAGGGAAGCCAGCGCCAGCAGCCGGGGAAAGGAAGGCCTACTCTTGCACGAATTTTTGTGCATCAGACCTCTAGTGTTATGTAAGTAAACATAAAAAAAAAGGTCCTTTAAGATTCCATTTATATTTTACAGTGTTTTAAGGAACACCAGTTCTATGAAGTGCTCAATGAGAGACAAAGGATCATTAGTTTAAAGAAACTGAGAACCACTACATCTATATTTCTCTTAGGGATTCATAACTCATCTGAGCACATGAAAGTCCTGCCATGAAGGACTGTGTTTTAACTCAGCTAATATCTGAAAATCGTAAGTTAAAAATATACATACCTTGTTAAATTGAAAATTTTTAAATAAAACCAAACAAGTTATTATTAAAAAAAAAAAAAAAAAAAGGAACAATTGTTAAATTACTGACATTTAGCAGAAAATCTCTAGGGATATTTAGTGATGACTGTGGTACTCCCCCAGTACTCTACTCATACCTTCACTGGCACTTCACCATATGATGCCTTATACCTGTCATGGTTTCCCTCACCAAACTAATTCCGTAAGGGCAAGGACCAGTCTCTGTACTCAAAGAGGAAGTATGCAAATTAGGCCAGGAGCCATAATGGGTCACGACCAGACAGGAGGAGGTTGTGTGCGCAGGTAAGGCCCGGAGTGGAGACGGATGCAGGGGGAGAGGGGACGGGCCACCCCCCAGAACTGGAGCACACACGAACAGGGACAGAGGGGCCGGCTCACAGCCTCCACGGCCAAGCACAGGTCTGGAGAGGAGACGGTGGGCCTGCCTCTCACAGAAGCAGCACAGCTCCTTCCTACCTCATGCGGAATTGGTGCTGGCTCCCGTGAAAGTGGCGCGGCTCCCCCAGAAGTGGCAGGCGGCCTACTGCTGGCAATATCATGCTATGGGTTACTACTTAATTATAAAAACAAATGGCAGATGGGACTTGGCCTGTGGGCCATTTAACAATTCCTTTTAATGTTCTCCAGGTACAATATTGGACACAACCTACATTCTTATTTAAAAAAAGATAAGTAACAAAAACTCAAGTTAAAAGGAAAAATAAATATAATCCAGATCTAACTGCAGTTATCATTACCATCGTGCCCAAGTTTATATTAGAAATGACCACTCAAAATGTATACTCACCCTCTATTAACCAACTCAGATTAATTTACCTTGTATTTTTCTTTGGCTTTCTCTTTTCCAAGAAGTTTAAGAACTTTATCAGCTAACAGCATGCTTTGTTGATTTTGGAACCCTTCTAATATACACACAGCAGTGACATCTAGAAATAATAGAAAAACAAGATTATGAAATTATTGTGAAGATGACTAGCAGCATCAAATGGGCAGTCTTACCACAGAAAGCCAAATTAAATTCATAGCTTTATGTAGCTATCAATTTCACTTCCAATAAAGTGATTCCTAAACTTTATTTTATATGTTCTATGACCAAACTCAAAGCTCAGAAAGTCACTCCACTTCTATGAGATTCACTTTCTTCACCTGGGAAGTGAAAGAGACTGTAGTGCGTGATTTTTTATGTTTCTCCTGCACTAACATTTTACATAGAAAATAAAACAAGGAACTCAGGAGCATTCTCTTAGGGCCAGTAACTATAGGCCAAATTAATATAATAAAGGCACTCTCACATCTGGTCTTTTTATAGGCCTCAGAGTTATTTCTTATTATAGAGCCATCTTGCCAGGGTTCTCAATGAAATATACTTCAAAATACCATTTTTATGTGGTCATGCCATAGTTCTAAGATACACTGGTTTGGAATTTAAAAGATCAGTGATTCCTTAATCTCTCAACTTTAAAAGTACTAAAACAATGGCTGTTCCTGTTTTCTGAACTCAGCTTCTTACAATTCCAAATCCTTCCTTCTCCAAAGAAGTCTTTCTGCTGTTATGCTCCCAAAAGCCTGGTTATGCCAGTATCAATGTTTTTCCAATCCCATTTTCCATATTAAAATCCATTTAACCTCCTCTTAATAAATTATCTATAAATAACTTCAAGATTCCATTCAAAACTCAGAATTCTCTATCCAAAGCAACACACTTCAATCTACCACCAAAGTTCATGACAACATAAAACTTCAAATTTTTCTAAAATGTTCAGTAAACCACTCTCACTTGGTAATTCAGGTTTTCAATAAATAAAATGGCACTTTTCTTTTGAATAATAATGCTTTTAAAAATAATTATGGCCCTAGTCGGTCTGGCTCAGTGGATAGAGCATCAGCCTGTGGACTGAAGAGTCCCAGATTCAATTCTGGTTAAGGGCATATGCCTGGGCTGCCAGCTCAATCCCCAGGAAGGGATGTGCAAGAGGCAGATGATCGATGATTCTCGTCATTGATATTTCTATCTCTCTTTCTCCCTCTCCCTTCCTCTCTAAAATCAATTAAAATAAATTTTAAAAAATGATAATTATTGCTAGCCCAGCAGGTGTGGCTCAGTGATTGAGTGTCAACCCATGAACCAGGAGGCAATGGTACAATACACAGTCAGGGCACACATCTAGGTTTCAGGCTCAGTTCCCAGTAGGGGGTGTGCAGGAAGCAGCCAATTGGATGATTCTCTCCCTCCCCCTCTCCTTCCTCTCTCTGAAATCAATAAAATATATATATATATATTTTAAACAAATAATAATTATGGCTAAATCTTCTGAGTGTTTATGGTTTTAATTGTGTAAGATTTAAATGTGCAATGGAAAATAATTTTAGATGGTAGAAATTACATTTTGATTTAGCTCCACGTCACCCAGAAGAATGTACTTTAAAACCCAGTGGTCTAGCCATGGCTGGTTTTGCTCAGTGGAAAGAGCCATAGGCCTGCGAACTAAAAGGTCCCAGGTTCAATTCAGGTCAAAGTGCACATGCTCGGGTTGTGGGCTTGAACCCCAGTGGGGAACTTGCAGGAGGCAGCTAAGCCATGATTCTCTCTCATCATGGATGCTATCTCTCTCTCCCTCTTCCTTCCTCTCTGAAATCAATAAAAACATATTAAAAAAATAAAACAGCAGAAATGTATTATACAAACAAAAAAGTGGTCTATACTATAATTGAAATTTTGATACCAGAGTATTTACAGTATTTATTTACTAAGAATGGCACTTTCACTTCATGCTATGTCATTTCTAACTGGGTATAAAATAATGTTTGAAAAATACAGAGAATAAAAACAATGTTTTTAATGAGTCATTTTAAAATTATTTTAGATGTAGGATATTAACTGAAAACATATAGAATCTTAGAAAAACTATCACTTACTAAATCCTCTTTCCTGATTTTTTACTCATGGAATTACAGTGATGCTCACTGGTTGTAAAGTTTAAAATGTACAGTGTATTAAATCTGAATCATAATATTTAGTTAATTCCATAACTGAACAGAGACTATCCTCAAGTATCAGCTAGTACAGTTTAAACCAGAAAACAAAGTCTCAATTTGGAAAGAGTTGAACTTCTAAATACAATTGATTTTTATATTGACAGAGTTTCATATAAATTTTACCAATGAATACAAAACCATTAATTTTCATATGGAAACACAAAAATATCCTCACCTTCTAAACATTCTTTCTTATTGTCTAGCTTCTCGTGGGCTTTTGCACGTCTAAAGAGAGCTTTCACATATTTGGGATTAAGTTCAACAGCCTTTGTACAATCTTGTGCCACCTCTTTCCATTTTTGCTGTAATTGAAAGTATTTTTTAAAAGTCACACCAAAGCACTGTTTGACAGAAATCAGTTTTTCAAACTTAACAGGCTGAATGTTAAGAGTCTGACAATAGAAAAAAGTATTTTCAATATATATGAAGAATATAGTTCATATAAATATCTGTAATAAAGATAAGCAAGGACACACAGAAGGCCGAGAGAGACGTATGAAAACATGCTCAAAGTCACTAATCCTCTGAGAGATGCAAATCAAAATGACAATGAGATACTATCTCACACCTGTCAGAATGGCTATCATCAACAAATCAACAAATGACAAGTGCTGGAGAGGATGCGGAGAAAAAGGAACTCTCTTGCACTGCTGGTGGGAATGCAGACTGCAAAACTAAAAATGGAACTCCCATTTGACCCAGGAAACCTACTTTAAGGAATATATCCCAAGAAACCAAAAACATTAATCAGAAAAGATATATGCACCCCTATGTTCATAGCAGCTCAATTTACAATAGCTAAGATTTGGAAACAGCCTAAGTGGCCCTCAGTAGATTAATGGATTAAATATTGTAATACATCTACACAATGGAATACTAAGCTGCTGTAAAAAAGAAGGAACTTTCACCATTTGCAACAGCATGGATGGAACTGGAGAGCATTATGCTATGCGAAATAAGCCATGTATAGTGTATTAAATCCGAATAATAATATGTGAATTATTTAAATTCCACATGATAAATATCACATGATCTCACTCATTTGTGGGATATAATGATCAACATAAATTGATGAACAAAAATAGATCCGGAGACAAGGGGTGGGGGGGGGGGTGTTAGAGAGCAACCAAAGGACTTGTATGCATGCATATTAGCATAACCAATGGACACAGACACTGAGGTGATAGGGGTTTGCCCACCGGATGGGAGTGGATGGGGGTATCAACAAGGAAAAGGGAGACATGTAATACTTTAAACAATAATAATAATTTTTTTTAAAAAGGTAAGCAAACTGATTAGTAAAAATACTAGGCAAAGGACATACTTAGGCCAACTTTCTACCACCAAATCTACAAACCTACCTGCATCTATGTGCCCATATCATCATCTTCTTCCTGCCTGTTAGAAATGAGGAAGCACCGTTCTTTATCAAAGGCCAACCCTCCACTTATGGATCTGTACTCTCTCCACTTTAGGGACTCCACTCTGTTAGCCATTCTCTCTCTCCATCAGTCTGACCCCTCTACTGAATCATTCCTATGAGCATCTTTTAAAAACCCTCCACTGATTCTATAAATCCTGCAGCTTTTACACCATTCTTCAGCTCCTCTTTACTGCCAAACTCCAAAGAGTTGCCTCTCTATCTGATTTCACCTACCTCACTGGCTGTTCCTCCTAATTTCCTTCACTAAATTCTTGCTCTCTATTTGATTTCTGCATGCTGGAATATTCAAGGCCTCATCTCTCTTCCTAGGTGATCACTTCTATTGTCCTGGAATTATATAACACCTAAAATTAGATGATTCCCAAGTATATTGCTTTAGCTCAAACCACTCTCCTAAAATAGACACTTCTCAAGTCAACTGTGTACTTAGCTGTCTCATGCCTTCCCCAACCCTCTGTTATTAAAATTCCTGTTTCTCTTCACCCTTCACATCCAATGCTGTTGGGTTTCAGCTTTCCTTCATGGCTCATCTAAGCTACTACAACATCCTTAGTTGGTCTCCCTGCCTCCACTCTTGCCTCCCTCCAATATAAGTCTTCACAGAATGGCAAAAGCAACAGATGATATTCCTACTCTACTTAAAACCCTTAAATATTTCCCTATACTCAGCATCAAATCCAAACTCCTCACCACTACAAGGCTTTGCTTGATATGGCCTCTGCTATTTCTCCCAATTTCATCTCTGTATATTCCAGGATCCTTTATACTTCATTAATCACACCAGACTCTTTCCTGCCTCAAATTACACATACTATAGCATTTCCACTATTTGTAATACTCTCTTTCCCTACTTTTATATGCACCAATACCATCTCCAATCATTCCTCGATTATAGAATCATGCGTTTTTTCAAAGCATTTAGCAAGATGTCATTTAGTAGTTCATTGTTTAGCTATAAAGTCTATGCATAATTCTTTGCTTTTATATAGAACCAGCTCCTGCCATAGTAACCTTCCATACAGTCAATTACATTTGGTTGAATAATTAAACGCAGAGAATACAAATGCTCAATAAGCATCATTTCACAAACTGCAGATTAAAGTAATGAGACAGTATTTTTCTTCTGTTTAAGTGGCAAATATTATTAAAACTGATAACCAGCCTAGCCAGTGTGGCTCAGTGATTGAGTATTGATATATGAACCAAAAGGTCACAGTTTGATTTCCAGTCAATGCATATGCCTGGTTTTCTGGCTTCATCTCCTCCAATAGGGGACATGTAGGAGGCAGCCACTTGATGATCTCTCTCCTCATAGATGTTTCTCTCTGGCTCTCTGAAATCAATAAAATCATATTAAATTAAAAGAGTGATCATCAGTCAGTAAGAATACTGGAAATCAAGCATGCTCACGTTATTGTTGAAAATAAATATTGATGTTATCTTTTTATATATTAATTTCTAGGATTTTATTTCACAAAAGTATGCATAAAAATTTATCCAAATGTTCAATAGCGAGATGTTTTCCACTATAAAATCATACAACCGCTACTACATATAGCCTTTAAAAAAAATGAAACAGATCTATATGTTATGAAAAGCTGTACAAGATATAGTGGCAACTGAAAAATATGTTGCAAACAATATATGTAATAGGAACTCATCTTTGTTCTTTTTTATTTTTACTTTTTAACTTACTGATTTGAGAGAAACATTGATTTGCTATTCCACTTATTTTTGCATTCATTAACTGACTCTTATATGTACCCTGACTAGGGATTGAATCCACAACCTTGGTGTATCAGGATGATGTTCTAACCAATTGACCTTCCCAGCCAGGGCCTCCCCTGCCCACAACCCTCACTTTTGTTACTACATATACTGAGACAAAAAGTTTAAGAAAAAGCCTCACACTGTTGAGGAAAATAGTGTCACCAGAAACTTTAGCTTTTTGTATTGCCTAATTTTATAAAATGGGATATATATAACTTTGGATTACATTTTTAACAAGCAAAACTAAAATTTGTTCTTAAAAAACTTATGTAATTAAAGGATATAAAAACAAAACAAAAATCCTTTAAGACTTCAAAAAAGTTATTAGATTTATTTAAGTGGCATTTTCTGAAACATAATAAAAATAAAGAGAAACAAAAATAACAGAAAAAACAACCTAGGATACCTACCAACTGTTCAAAGGCAGCAGCTCTGTTTTGATAAAATGTGGAAAGGTCAACCTTCTTCTCCGTAGGGCACAGACTGATGGCCTCTGTATAGCAATGAATAGCTTGTTCATATTTCCCTGCTTTAAAGTATTTGTTGCCTTTGTTCTTGGCTGCTTGGGCTCTATCAAGAGAGTTCTAAAATGAGAGGAAACAATTATTAAATACTTATCAATAGTCAGGAATAGATTCAGATCACAGTACCTAAATGATACAATGACAGAAAAAAAACAGTAAGGTGTTCAGAATGGTCCTTTACCTGAATAGTGCAAGTCACTTCATATAATTATCTACACTAATAAAAGAGAAACATGCAAATTGACTGTGCCCACAAGCCAATCAGAGTATGCAAATGAACCCAACAAAGATGACAGCTAATTAGCATATGCAGGCTCTTCCCGGGATCCAGGCCATTCCTAGTCTGTAGGCCTACGCGTAGGCACCAGGCGGCTAGGGATGGGGCAGAAACATAGTGATATGGCACGCGTGCATCGGTGCCTAGTGGTGGCCCAGGTCCGCACGCCCCCCAGGCTGGTGCCCACAATGAGGGGCTGGCTGCCAGCCTGGGGAATGTGTGGACTTGGTGGCCACCATGTGGCTCAGGTCCGTACACCCTCCAGGCCAGCACCCACGTGGGACTGGCCCCCCTGTGCTGTGGGGACATACCCCTAGCCCAGTGGACACAGCACAGGGGGTCCACAGGGAAAACACCTGTTCTTTTTTTAAAAATATATTTTATTTATTTAATTTTTTTTTACAGAGGAGAGGGATAGGCAGTAGGAAACATCGATGAGAGAGAAACATTAATCAGCTGCCTCCTACACATTCCCCACTGATGATGTGCCCCCAACCAAGGTACATGCCCTTACCAGGAATCAAACCTGGGACCCTTTAGTCTGCAGGCCGATGCTCTATCCACTGAGCCAAACCGGTTTGAGCGTAAACACTTTTCTGACTACTCATTCGCTAAGCTCTTGTACGCTCTTGGAGGAAAAAATGAAGGTCTGCTACGTGAGGAGCTAAGTGGTGTCATATCCTGCCCTAGCCGGTTTGGCTCAGTGGATAGAGCCTTGCCCTGCCAACCACAGGGTCTGGGTTTGATTCTGATCAAGGGCATGTACCTAGATTACAGGCTCCTCCTTAGCCAGGGCCCAGGTCAGGGCTCCATCAGAAGGCAACCAATCGAAGTATCCCTTTCACATTGATATTTCTCTGTCTTTCCTTCTCTCTTCCACATTCTCTAAAAATCAATGGAAGCATATCCTCAAGTGAGGATTAAAAAAAAAAAAAAGAAAAAAGAAAGAGTCATATCTTATGAAAGACACATCTTAAAAATGCCTAAAGAAAGTTGTCATTTTTTCATGGTGAAGGGACTGGAATCTGTGTTGATGAAAATACCTTGGTGGCTGCAGTGGCTGGCAGTAGTGAGGTGATGGGGCTGGTGCCTTCCCCTAATCAGCCTGATCACCTCCCGCAGAGAGAGGACAGACTGTGGCTTAGGTCCGCTCCCCACCGGGATGGGGGGTGGGGGGAGTGGGGGAGGTGGAGGAGGCCTAAGCCATCAGTAGGACATCCCCTGAGGGCTCCCAGTCTGTGAGAGGGGGCAGGCTGGGCAGAAGGAACCCCCTAACCAGTGCATGAATTTTGTGCATCGGGCCCCTAGTCCTGTGTAATAAAAGCTTAATATGCTAAGTGTCCAATTGGCTGGTTAACCAATTAAAGCTTAATGTGCTAATGATATGCAAAGGCTGCTCAACTGCTCACTATGACATGCACTGACCACCAGGGGGCAGTCAACCAGTTGCTATGATGTGCACTGACCACCAGGGGCAGATACTCCTACTGGCAGCTTAGCTTGCTGCTGGGGTTTGGCCAATGGGGACTTAATGATACGGGCCTGACACACCCAGGAGGCCTCCCAGGCCCTGATCATGCATGCACCAGGCCTCTAATCTCAGTAATAAGGTTGCTAAATCAACATGTTTACATATTTTTAATTTCAAAACCACTCAGACTTTCTCCCCAAAATGCTGAAGTGCTTTAATGTACCACTTTCCTGCCATTCCTACCAGCAACAGGTATGGTTGCTATCCTTTATTTTACCTTTTAGAGCACATTTGCCAATATCTGAAAACATTTTGACTAACAACTGAGGGCAGGGGAGCTACTGTATCTAATGGACAGACTTTAGAGATGCTTCTAACATTCTACAATGCCAGTGAAATAGGACTTTTAGGGGTAAAATAGGGCAGGTTTAGGAAATTTTAGAAATTTTGGAAATTAAGGGGACCATGAAGGAAGCACAGGGCTGCAGAGCAGAAGGTATATTTCCATAGAATGAGGGAGCTGGAAACAGCAAAAGGTCTATATTTACAAAACAGAGAAGGCCTTCATCTAGAAGGAGAAGAAAGCCCAAAGGGAATAGGAAAACAATAGGGAAGTGTGTGTGTGTGGGGGGGGGGAGGGGGGGAAAGAAGAACCTCACATGTTCCATGTCCCATGTCAGGTTAGATCTTTGAGCCCAGGAGCTACTATAGTAGCCAGTCTAGGGGAATAGTGACCAATCAGAGGGGATATCAAGGCACCAGGATCTGCAGCCTTTATCAGCCACAGGGAAAGGGAACTCAGGGACCCTTTTACCCTCCCCACATGGGAGTCCATCTGTGGGGCTCTTTCCCTCTCCACATTGGAATCTGTACTTGATCTTCAATAAATCTCCACCTTTGCTACACCACTCACTGTCCGTGGACTCATTCTTCGATTCCAGCGGACAAAGAAACCAGTTCCAGTCCAAAAATTCTATTCCGCCAGCACAGTCCCCATAACAAAGAATTATCACATTCAAAATGTCAATAGTAGTAAGGTTGAAAAATTTGGATATAAACTAATATTCCAGTATTATTTTAATTTGCATTTTCCTATCATTGCATTTGAATATTCTTCATATTCATTGGTCATTTGCATTTCTTATTTTGAAAAACCACTTATTCATGCATGTTACTATTTTTCTATTAGACTGTCAGCAGTATAGAACAGACACTAGAAACACTGTCATTTTTATTATAATTATCCCAAATGTACTATTTGCTCATCAATACACTTTTTTGCACTATTTTTGCCTCAGAATCTGATTCCTGAAATACCCAATTTACACAGTTTATGTGCACAATATGAAAGAGTTGGTAGTTAATACCCACTGAGGACAGTTGCGAACATGTCGATCAACACATGGTAAACATCTCTGTAGACAAATCTAGTTGTCTAGTTGCTACGAAGTCCAAGAACTTAGTTGGCATATCTCTATCCAAAACTTTGTTGTCAACATCATCCAACTTGAACAAATATGTGATTATGAGAAAAATCCTTTTTCTATTTGTTCTTTTTCTCTTACTCTTATTTCATTTTTCTTGCTGCTTCTCCCTTCCATTTACCTTTTATTTACCTTCTCTTTTAGTCTAACCACAGCTATGGCTACTTTTTAAAGTCCAGTGTGCAAAGAATTGGTAGGAAACTAAGATCAGAATATAAAAAGTTTAAGCTAGCCAATGTCAACAAGTAACATGCATATTTTAAAACTAGGATGTGTGAGGATGAAAGAAACCAAATAAAGCACAAATAAATTAGAATATAAAATCTTCCACTTGTCAATAGCTTTAATCATCTTCTATAAACTTTGACAGAAAAATCCTAGGCATAAAACATCTATAAAAGAAGACAACTAGGACTCTCTTAGGTAGCTATGATTCTGAAGGGCAGGGGAGGAAGGGAACTATTAAGGTGATTTCTTGAAAACAGCATTTGAAGCAAACTCAACATCCCTTCCATTCCACTGAGAAAAGCAGAAGTCTGACTCTACTAGGGCTGTGCCATCCAGGAGTAGAGATCTCCTACGTCTACAGACAACTGACAAGCATACCTTGCTTGTCTTCCAGGAACTGCTAACATAAAGGAAAATTAATACCACAAAAGAGAGATACCAAAAAGAGAGAGGTACCAAACTCAAAGAGAAAACTAGTATTTATGAAAGAATAAAACAAGAAAAAAAAAAAAGTTAACATCAGTAGAAAATGAATATATCAGTATTTTAAAAAGGGTTGATTTTAAAAAGTACCAATTGAAAATTAAAAAGAGGATTACAATGAACTCATTGTAATTAGAGTTCCTTGTATATTAGACTAAGGAGTCAAGAAGGTCTGCCAGAATGCAATAAAAAACAGTTTTGCTCAGTGGATAGAGCGTGGGTAAGGCACCGCCCCCATCATCCAGCAGCAGCTGCTGCCACTGCTGCCGCTGCCCGCCACCATCACAGCTGCTGGCCCTTGCGTCTTAGTGCTGGCTCCGCCTCCCACCTACTGGTAGGGACTAGGCTGGCTGAGGGAGGGCTGTGGGTGGTTGAGGCATAGCAGGTCTCACCCTGTCCAGCTTCTACAGAGGCATGGTGCCAGGACCTGGCCCCTGCCGCTGGATCTGTGGCTGCCTCTGGGGAAGGAGCCATGGCGGTGTTCTCCTCCTACCCACCCCCCAGCAGCAGCTCCTCACCCGTGGCCTCTGTGAAAGGGGCCACATGGAGCTAGACCAGCCTGCAGCCCTGGACCAGCCCATGCCACCGGCCCTCGCAGCAGCTGTGGCTTTGTCTGGAAGGATGCCCGGTGTAATTAGCATATTACCCTTTTATTAGTATAGATAATGTGGTATGGAATACTATACTCGGCTTTAAAAAAGGGAAATCTTACCCTTTGCAACAGCATGGATGGACCTGGAGAACATTATGCTAAATGAAACAAGCTAGAAAGAGAAAGACAGGTATCATATGATTTCATTCATATGTGGAATCTAATGAACAAAATGAACTAACAAGCAAAATGAGCTAAAAAAAAGACTCATAGAAAGCAGGCTGACAGCTGAGGGATGGGAGTCTGGGTGGTAGTGAAAGAACTAAGCAAAAGAGGGAAAAAATGTGGTATATTGAATGCATTTAAGTATGCTTGACTACAAACACATTGAAGATTTATTTAGCATTTTTACTAAAGATTTACAGAATAAAGAGAACATTCTCTGGGCATAAACAAGTAATACGCTCTTTTCAGTCTACTAGAAGTTAAAGTCTAAATGATATCACACTAAAAAAAATAATAATA